GGTCTTTTCTAAAATTGAAACGATTATTTCTGACACCCGTCAAACGTCAAAATGATAAAAAAAAATGTGTTAGGTTCAGATTATTGTTCTATGAAAATGAAATAAAACACTTCGTTTAGTACAGAAAACCATCAAGTTTATTATTGTTGATCAAATAATGTGTTTAATTCAGGAACTCTTTAAGTAATGGTATTTGGAAAGTTTTTTTAAGTTTTATCGAAATCATAAAATTCGCACTTAACGGGTTTCTGAAATCATCTGTATTTACCTATTGTTTATCGTCGATTTTTTTTTTAATTTTCAGAATTTCACATTTTCACTAATTTCTTTTCTATACTTCTAGTATTTTCTTTTTACGTCAACCTGCATTTTTTTTTTTACTTGTTACTTATTAAAAATCGAATAATGTGAGTTGGTATACTATTTAATTTTAATGGGAATGATTCAATGATTCACAAACGTCTGTGGTGCATTATATTGATAAGTTTAATAATTTGGTCCATATATGAATGTTGGAATTCAATCCCCTCTCTATAAGCTATTGACTACTATAATAAGYAAGCCTAGTTATACGCCCTAGCCCCTAGGCCTATGTTAGCATTTGTATTACCTATTATATATATWTTTTTTTCWATAGATGCAGCATAGCAGCATACATAATAGCAATTCAACCAAATTAAATTAAATTATTTATAATTATATAAAATTAAATTCTCTGCCATAATTACAATGAAGTACCAATCACAAATGACGCAATTGACTTCAGTATACCACGAATCATAGGCGTAATCTTGGGGTGGGCAAGAGGGGGCAACTGCCCATCCAGATTGAGGGGGAAATAGTGTCGTTTTGCTCCCCTTTAAAAGTTATAATTTATAATTCAATTTCTATTTTATCATAGARAAATTAAACAGAATAATGGATTGTATAATAATTAATAATAATAGATTTATCGTTTTGACTTTTTGAGCGCCTCAGTTTATTATTTATTAATAGTATCATTATAAATCGAGCGCCTTCATATCGTAATACGAGGAATCAGGGACTGAAACCGGAACCGAAAGAATCGGTTCTGAAACCGGTTCTTGGAGAAAATCTAAGAACCGGAACCTTATATGAAACCGATATTTTAAAATACTAGAACCGTATTAGAATCGGAACCCGCCTATATTAATAAATAATAAGTTTTTTGGTTCTTTTGGGTTTTCATCGGTTCTAAGAAAAAGCCCGATACCTATTTCAAATAACATTTTATTTTAATTGATTTTGTTACAATCAAACAATTATTTTTTGTAGAAATATTTTTGTTTTGTGCTTCTATGGTATTATAAATTTTTAACCCGAAATAATTGTATTATATTATGACAGACTTATGATTAATTTACACATATTATGTGGGTTGCATTTTTCATTTAATGAGCAATATAACGTGGATAGTCGAACAACAATTATGGGGT